TGGCTCTCCGATATTTCCGCGTATACCTGCTCGGGTTAAACTTCACGGTCGTCACGGATTGTAACGCGCTTCGTACGACATTCACGAAGAAGGATTTGATACCGCGTATCAGACGGTGGTGGTTGGAAGTCCAGGACTTCACCTTCGCTGTCGAGTACCGAACGGGAACACAAATGCAACACGTCGACGCTCTCAGCAGGAATCCTGTGCCAGGAGTGGAGATTTATCCGGTGGATGTGACGGAGGCGGATTGGATTTTGTCGGCTCAATTGCAAGATGAGCAGTTGCGCCGAGTCCGCAAGATACTCACGGAGAATGTACGGAATGCCGATACGAAGCAGTACTTCTCAAATTACGTGTTAAAAGGAGGAAAGATTTACCGACGTTTGGAGAACGGACGCACTGCATGGGTTCTGCCGCGCACGGCGCGTTTCCAAGTTTGTCGATTGTGCCACGACGACGCGGGACATCTAGGATTGGATAAGACTCTGCGACGGATCCGCGAGAACTATTGGTTTGCGGAAAGGGCACAATTCGTAAGGAAGTACATTAGATCGTGTTTGAGTTGCGCTTATTATAAACGGACGGTACGAAAGAAGCAGGGAAAGCTCCACCCTATTAAAAAAACCCCGGTGCTCTTCCACACGCTGCACACCGACCACGTCGGCCCGTTCGAGACGAGCGCGAAGAGGAATAAGTACCTGCTGGTCATTGTGGACGCCTTCACGAAATTCACCATAATCGAACCCGTGAAGGACACACAAGCGAAGCGTGCGGTAAAGGTGCTGTTAAGCGTTATTTACCTGTTCGGAGTACCGGCTCGGATTATCAGCGATAGGGGCACCGCGTTCACAGCAAGGACATTTAAAATATTTTGTACGACCTACGGGATCCGCCACATTTTAAATGCTGTTGCCACGCCACGTGCCAACGGACGAATATGTCAAATAAGTGCAAGGCGCGATGAACACTACATACAACAAAGGCATCGCAGCGACGCCCACCGAAGCGTTGATAGGGTACAACGCAAGGACTGTTGCGGAGGCTCGGCTCCTGCAAGAAGTGCAGACCGAAATGCAACGACTGGATCTAGGCGATTTGCAGGATAGAATCGCGAGGCACATAACGGAAGACCAGAAACAGCAGAAGAAGTACTATGACAAGGCCCAACGGGAAGCTACCCAGTACCGAGAGGAGGACTTGATGATGGTGGAGATCACCAGCGAGCGTGCCACGGGGGAAAGCAGGAAGCTTTCTCCAAAATTCAAAGGGTCATTCAGGATCCACCAGGTGCTCGGAAACAACCAGTACGAGGTCGTGGATCTGAGACAGGGAGGTAGAAGGGCCAAGACGGTGGTTGCAACCGAACGGCTGAAGCCTTGGGTCGCGGCCATCAAGTAATAATGGCTAGAAAAATTAAAGGCGTGTTTTAGCTATTTTGACAGGTTTCGGATAGGGACGGGCTCCTGACCATGGGTGGTCGGTGCCGTCGCCGCCGCGCCGGCGGAAACAAGGTCAACGAAGGGTCCCCGAACTGAGTGCAGCGGTGCTGAAGAACGAGCCCCGCCGAAGGGATCCCGACAATAGTGACGGTTGTTGCCACTGTAGCGGCTAGCTCGCACAACAAAAGAAACATTTGGCGTGCAAATGGTTTACGACAAGCAAAGTCAAAAAGGCCAGGTCTTGCTTATATATTTTAATTATATAGTTTGTTTTGGTTTTTATATGTTTGCTATTTTTTATATTACTCATCGGTGAGGTCCGTTAGAAACGGTGCCGGGGGCAACCGATTCGGGCCGGGTGCAAAATCGATCGATTGCGCGTGTCGCGGAGTATTCTCGGTCCTCGAAGGCCCGAGAATGTTCCACGGCACGCGCCTCGAACTTTTGCACCCGGCGCGAAGAAAATCCAAAAGACGATCGGGACCAGGGGTATATAGCCAGGGTCCCGATCGCCGGGCGGGCTTGATTTTTGACCAGTATACCACGAACTCGGTATCGTAACACAACACGCGAAACAATTTTCACGAACACAGTTTAAGTGTATTATACAAAAATATATAGTTTTTCCTGCACACGTTGTCAAGCTCATTCAAACCCAATTAATCCCAACGGACTTAACAGGACGTAGGGATCTTAAACGTGCATTCTACCGGGTGTCGAAAATATTCGTAATGAGGACTTACGACCCTCGTCGACGCGTCACACAGCAAGCGCGTCTCATCCGCGGAGTGTACGTACATTTGGTCCTTCGAGCCGGATTATCAGTGACGTGTGGTGTAAAACACAGAACGGAGGAGCATTGGACAACTATCTGCCTACTTCACGTTCAGCAGAGCTCCATCTCGACACAACGGGAACGCCACACCGAAGGCCAACGACGCCATCCGACGCCGCATCCTCCATCAGGTCAAACCAAAGGAATTGGACATCACGGCAACTACACCAGCTGATCTCTCCGACAAGGTAGGCTCGTTAGTTGTGTCGCCAATTTCCTAGTTATTCCTATCGGATATTATCATGTCGAAATCAAACACGTCCGCATCTCATGTGGAATCCGCTTCTCATGGGATTAAAATCAGCACTCTGCGTCGTAGAAGAGGGAATATTATCGGTCAAATCACCGCGTTCTCCAAATTTCTCGATAATTACTCAGCTTCCGGTCAACGAAATCTCGCTTTCTTACAAGCACATTTCAACGGACTCCAAGAAAACTGGAAGAAGTTCGACGATGTACAATTTGAATTAGAAGAACTCGACGAATTCGAGAACGATCGCCGGTATGAAATTCAGAACGACTATTACGCCATAATCGCACGCGCCACGGTCCTTCTGGACAGCGATCAACCTACGATTTCTACTGCGCGCGCGACGACAAATTCACTAGAACTTACAATTTCCGCACCCATGGCTATCAAACTTCCAGAAATGCGCCTGCCCACATTCGATGGGACAATTGAAAAATGGTCGTCATTCTATGATATTTTCACCTCAATCATCGATCGCAACGAGGATCTAACACCGGTACAAAAATTACAATACCTTCGATCAACGTTAATCGGGAAAGCAGCCGCGTGTATCCAATCGCTTAGTACAACCGATGCCAACTATCACGACGCGATAGATATTTTAAAGGAGAAATTCGATTGTCCGCGACGGATTCGGTTACGTCACTGGGACGCGATTCGTGATTTACCAAAGCTTATTAAGGACTCACCAGAAGCATTAGGAAATCTTATTGATACAGTCAATCAACACTTGCGTGCACTAAAAAATCTAGGAGAATCAATTGCATCTTGGGATACCATACTGATTTCCACTGTCCTTTCAAAAGTAAGCGCCGACACAGCTTGGCACTGGGAACTAACTTTGAGAGATAAAAATATGCCACCGTACACGCACTTATTAGAATTTTTAGAAAAACGAGCTAATTGCGCCCCGACAGTACCACCAGTAATTACAGCACTCACAAGGGTTTCAGTTCCCAATCGAGATAACCGCCAACCAATACCACGACGACACGTATTTGCATCGGTGAATTCTACCACGTGCCCAATTTGCAAAGACAATCACAGCATTAGAAGCTGCGATCGGTTCAGATTTATGACGGTAAATGATTGAGTGCTCGCAGCCGAACAAGCTTCGCTTTGCAACAACTGTCTTACAGAAGGGCACACAATACAAGATTGTCGATCAGGATCCTGTCGCATATGTCAACGTCGACACCACACAATGTTACATCGAACAAATTCCCAACAAACCCTGCAACTGAGTCATGCAACAAAACCACCACATACGACCAACATTCCAACAAATCGGGAGCCCGTAAGACAGCATCCACATCCCGCAGCAGGGCCATCATCCAACGATCAACGATGTACACCAGCATGATATTCGGACTTGACGGGCGCAATACGGACGGAACCGAGACACATCATTACCGACAATCACTGGAACAACGAACTTCTAACTACGGCACAGCTCACCATATTAAACAATAAACGACAACCAATCCAGTGTCGAGCATTATTGGACACAGGCGCAACCACGAATTTTATCACGACAGACCTGGCAAACAAACTCGGCATCTTTCAAACGAAATGTTCCGTCCCCATTGGAGTCCTTGATACCTTATCGACAACGGCAAATCGATCAATTACGGCGACTATACAATCCGACAACGGAGGATATCAACGAACGCTAAATTTCTTAGTCATTCCGAGTATCGCACCACTCATTCCAGAACAAACAATTGACCGGTCCGATATTAAGATACCAAAAAATATTAAACTCGCCGATCCGTATTTTCATCTGCCAGCTCCCATAGATGTCTTGTTGAGCGCGGGAACTACGCTATCTCTATTGTGCATTGGACAGATAAATCTCGCCTTCCCGAACAGCGCTGATTTATGCCTTCAAAAAACAAGACTTGGATGGATAATCGGGGGGAGCCCATCAGTAACAGCACAGCAGCAAGGCACCTGTTTCACCACCACCGCAGCTCTGCAAGCAGATATAAACAGATTTTGGGAGATCGACGAAGGACCTCAGACGCAGTATCTTTCTGAAACAGAAAGAATTTGAGAAGAGCATTTTCTGGTCCGACCCGAAGATAGAAAATATCAACGTATCTTATGGCGCGGCACCACGGGACGTATTAAAACCTTTGAATTAAACACAGTCACATTCGGCCTATCAGCCGCACCGTACCTAGCTATCCGATGTTTTAAACAATTAGCTATCGATGAAGGTAATCGATACCCGAACGCTGCGAAGATCTTACAACAAGATTTCTACGTCGACGACGCTCTCACAGGAACATCGACAAAGGAGGAAGCGCTAATTTTGAGAGACGATCTCACTGAATTACTCAAATTAGCTGGTTTAAACGTGCGACAATGGGCATCCAACAGCAGAGAACTACTACAAGGACTACCGGAGCAAAACATAAATAAAAAACTACATCTCGGCGAATCATCTACACTGAAGACACTTGGAGTCATGTGGAATTCAGCCAATGACACAATTTTATACTCGATACAAGCCACCGCCGCTTCTCGTCGTATAACAAAACGCACAATAAGCTCGGAGATAGCAAGGATTTACGATCCGTTAGGACTCCTCGCACCGGTGATCGCACCTAAGATGCTGCTCCAAAAAATCTGGGCCGTGAAGGTTGATTGGGACGAAGCACTCCCGCTCACCATCCATACTGAATGGACCAGATTTTACCAACAACTGCCTCTGCTAAACAACATCACCTTTCCACGAAAGACGATCATCAAATCCGCCACCACCATCGAACTACACGGGTTCTGTGACGCAAGCGAAAAGGCTTACGGCGCTTGCGTTTATCTCCGACCCATCAACGAGAACGGCAAAATCTGGGTAGAACGTTTAACAGCAAAATCGAAGGTAGCACCGTTGAAACAACAAACTATTCCACGTCTGGAACTGTGTGGAGCATTACTCCTCACATCATTAATCGCGACAACGCAAAAGGCCTTACACATTAATTACGACCACTATTGGACTGACTCCACCATTGTCCTCCATTGGTTAACAACATCTCCGCACTCTCTGAAGACATTCGTGGCCAACCGAGTCGCGGAAATTCAAGAGAAAACGCACATCCCAGATTGGAGACACGTACCCACACAGGACAATCCAGCAGATCTAATTTCATGAGGCCAATCACCAGAGGAATTTTTGCGTCCCACAATCTGGTGTCATGGACCCGAATGGCTCCATCATTCGGAATCTTCCTGGCCAACATCAAAATTAGTACCGGCGGTCGACATACCGGAACAGAGAAAGGCAGTATGTTTGATCACAGCATCCATCGACACCAGCATCATTGAAAGATATTCATCATGGCCCAAACTTCTTCGAGTCATTGCCCGGTGCTTACGGTGGAGACAAAACCAAAAAAAAGGTTCGACACTGACAATACCCGAGATCCAACACACACATAACGTAGTCATCCGAATGATCCAAGGGGTGCACTTCGGCGAAGACATCAGACGGTTAAAAAAGGAGAAAACTACAGCCAATGGGAAATTACAACACTTAAACCCGTTTCTCGATAAGGATGATATACTCCGAGTCGGAGGTCGACTCAAACACTCCACAATGCCATTTGCACAAAAACACCCAATCATACTACCAAAATCATTCGTCACAGCTCTCATAATTGAAAACGAACATCGCATGCATCTCCACTCCGGCACACAGACTACGTTATACGCCGTGCGACAGCGTTATTGGCCAATCGATGGTCGCAGTCAAGTTTGGCAGATAATTAAGAAATGCGTTTGATGTTGTCGAGCTCACCCACCACCGATCAACTACATTATGGGTAATCTACCCGAAGCGAGGATCACCGAATCGCGACCTTTCACTAACGTGGGAGTCGATTATTGCGGGCCGTTCCTAATCAAAGAACGCAAACATCGGAATCGGACGAATGTGAAGGTGTACGTGGCCATCTTTATCTGCCTTGCCGTGAAAGCGGTTCATATCGAACTCGTCAGCGACCTCACGAGTGAAGCGTTCATCGCTGCATTACGACGATTCATTGCTCGCCGGGGTTATTGTATGAATATACATTCAGACAACGGCACGAATTTTGTTGGAGCTAACAACGAGTTACGCGAATTACGGAATCTGTTGCAAAGCGACGATCACCGCGACAAGGTAAAATCTTTTTGCATCGAGAAACAGATAGAGTGGCATTTCATTCCCCCACACGCACCACATTTCGGAGGTCTGTGGGAAGCGGCCGTAAAATCTTTTAAATATAACCTCAAACGCGTCGCAGGTGCTGGTATATTCACATACGAAAATTTCAACACGCTAATCATTGAAATAGAATCGATTCTGAACTCCCGACCCCTCACTCCTCTCTCATCCGATCCCAACGATTTACAAGTCCTAACGCCTGGTCATTTCCTAATTGGCGACGCGCTAACGAGTCTTCGAGAAAGAGATTTCAGGGATACGCCATCAAACCGTTTGTCCAGTTGGCAACACGTCCAAAAACTCAAACAGAACTTCTGGACCCGATGGCATCGGGAATACCTGAATGAACTGACCCGGCGCAATAAATGGAGCAAGGGGAGTCATCAAGTCCGAGACGGCACCGTGGTCCTTCTTACAAGTAACACTACCCAACTGATACTCACCGATTTGAATAAAATTTAACATACTTATTAAACTCCGAAAAACATTAAATACGTGTTTTTTTGTTTCGGCTAAATACGCTTTTTAGGGGTAGAAAGCACCCCTCAACCTCTGGAGATGGAAACGTTTGTGGCTAATTATTTCTTAAAGGATACAGTTTCTGAAACAAATACTAGATCCAGAGTTGTATAGTTCAGAGTGATGCACTTGATGGTGTCCTTGAAATTGACCTTCAAGTCGATTTTCAAGGTCAATTAAATTTGGAAATAATAAGTCGGACTGACCGGATTTAGCAGTTGCCGGACCTTGAACGCATCCTGTATTTATAATCAGTAATTTTATGCGATGACTCTAATCTGTCTTCAGAATTGATTTGTTGCGTTATTTTCCCAAAAAAGAAACAATCAGACGGTATGGGAAAATAGGCTCAAATTTATAGAAAAAATATGAAGGAGAAAAAAAGTTTTGTAAGTAACTTCGGAATAGAAGTAAAGATAAGAAAACATGAAATGTCACTCTAATTGTAAATTAAACGTTACATTCATGCTATATTAGAAATTTTCATTTTTTTTTAACAGACTTCGAAAAGGGGGAGGTTACTATACAGGGTGTTCGGCCACCTATAGTAAAAATTTTAATGAGCGATAGTAGAGGCCAAAATAAGACGAAAATCAAGAATACCAATTTGTTTATGGAGGCTTCGTTAAAAAGTTATTAACGTTTAAAGTTCCGCTCGTACTGAATTTTTTTCTCGAAAATGCGCAAGATTTCGGGGATATGTCCATTCACCAAAAATTATTGTAATTGATCCCCGCAACCGAAAATAATTTTTCCAGAATGATTTGAAATTTTTAAATTTAATTGTTAATAACTTTTCAACGAAGCCTCCATCAACTAATTGGTATTCTTGATGTTCGTCTTATTTTGGCCTCTAGAATCGCTCATGTAAATTTTTCCCAGGGGTGGCCGAACACCCTGTATATATTTTTTTTTATTTTTTATTTTGATCTTTATTTTTTTTTATGCATACATGTATGTATGTACGTATGTCCGGCGGTTACGGCGAAACGGCTGGACCGATCGGAACGAAACGCATTGCATCTTGTAGAGTATGTCTCCCAGTTGGTCCCCCATAAAAAACATTTTGCATTTTTCACTCCATCAGATCTACCAAGTTCTCTTCCAATTTGTCTCATTGATTGTCCGCGACCGTACATTTCCCATGCACGGTTCTGCTCCTCCACGGATAATTTCGCACCACTTCCCATTGTTGTAGAATCAGAACTACGAGTGACGATATCGCAACGACAAAAGACGAGTGACGATATTGTAACGACAAAAAACGTTCGTCTATTTCCAGTCTGATTCTACAACAATGTTTTATTAAATGCGTGTTTTCGTTCCATCATTTTCACGACTATTTTTTGTGTTATTTGCATTTAGGCTTACAATCATAAACTCTACTTTCTACGAATTTACTTTGGATCTCTATTATTATATTATCGAAGCATTGTTAATCTGTAAAATTTCATAATGTCATTAAACCCAAAAAATATTTTAATGTTATTATGCCTCACTTTTGAGGACCCAATGTACAATATAGAATCTAAAATAACGGATGAAGAAAGATCATTCGCTTCTCAACTTGCAGATTTGATCAAAGACGCTATTAATTTTGATATATGTAAAGAGTCTTATGATACTTTTAATTATACTGATGCTAGTGTGATTCCTGATGCTGTTTTAGTTGAAGATAATACAGAAGATGTTTCGGAAGTTATGCAAGACGATACAAAATTTCGAGAAATTGTAGACATTGATTATAAGAAAAGGGTAATTGAATTTTGGCGATCTGGACAAAAGAAAAGAAGGAATATAGAATCAGTTAAAAACCGATTTAAGAAAGTTATAAATGTAACACAATTGTACCGATGGGAAGCACAAGTTGCTGAGGGTGGGTCAAGAACAGATAAATTGTTATATATCTCTCAATACGTTCTAGAACAATTTAACAATGCATCTGATCGAAGCCTACCCATTCACGATTTAGATTTAAAGAGATGGGCCTTGAAAGCAAGAGAGGTAGTTCATTTGCCTTCTCAATTATTCACGGCTTCATCAAAATGGATATACAACTTTAAAATACAACATGGCATTGTTTCAAGAAAAATAAATAAATTCGTGACACAAACGCATATTTTAAATAAAGCAGAATTATTGGAAGAATCTACCAATTATGTGAGTCAAGTTAAACTTGCGATAGGCTTGCTAGGGACAGCAAACGTTTACAATTCAGATCAGTCAGGGTTCAATTTGGAAACACATGCTGGTCGTACATTAGCCTCAAAGGGTTCTTTGAAAGTGGAGTGTCTTGCTCAATCTTTGAACTCCTTGACTCACAGTTATACAATACAACCTTTAATATCTGCCGATGGTACCCTGAAATCCCCGTTATAAATAGTTCTACAAGAAACAAGCGTCCGTTTCGGACCGATAATACAAAAGTGTTTCGAGCCGGAGCATTCTCCAACTTCGGTCGATGGCAAGACAAGTTATTGTTTCCGGCCATATAAATTCACAGCCCAAGTGCATGCATCTTGAGCAAACAAATTCGTGCCTACGCATAAGTAAATTCCATTAGACACGCCACTTCTTAGCAAGGCGACGGTTTAAGGCCCTTCAGATAACGGGTCGCCATAAAACTATAAATCAGTTTCGAACCGGGAACAGTCCTCGCGCCAAGCGAGAGGGTTCTCTAGGAAAACAGGGTCCTATTGAAATCGGGACACTCGGCCCAAACCGAGGCCTCCCACATGGCACACTGGCCAACTACTTTACGAGCTGTCAAGGAGTGTCTCGAGTTACCAAACTCAGACGACTTTCCTCGCCAACAACAGGAACAGTTCCTTGCAGTCAAGGGCCAATATATCTTTCCTCAAAGAAGTTCCTCTCCTTAGCTACAATCTGTTTACCAGCCGATGCACATGTCCATGACTCCAATACATTCCGGCTGACAAAGGCCCTCGGTCGCACACACCGAGCGACCAATGCGATGCATTGGTCTTTAGGCCAAACCCATCAACAGACCAAATCACACCAGTGATTGGACCTCCAGATTCCTTCCAAAACTTAGTCGATCTTGGCATGCAGGGGGAGGTCTCGATAGTACAATCGGTGTGCTCTAACGCGGCAGCGACCCCTGAGTGGTCCCCGTTGTTAGACACAGCCGCAACTCGACCACCCTCCCTAAGATCGACGGACCCAAATCACCCCAGTGATTGGGCCCCTCTATCAGTTACCACCTTTTGGCAATCTTGGCATGCAGGGGGAGGTCTCGATAGTCCAATCGGTGTGCTCTAACGCGGCAGCGACCCCTGAGTGGTCCCCGTTGTTAGACACAGCCGCAACTCGACCACCCCCTCCCCCCAAGATTGCATGTTGACCGGTGGGACAAATCTCGTCTAGTCTACCAAAGGATCTCTCTCGTGAAACACATAGCGAACAGA